CTCCTTCATTTCAACCCTGGTCAATCTGACGATTATGTGCCTTGGGGTTGCTCTTCTTGAGGAATATCTTTGTGGTGTTCTCTGTAGTTCCTGGACTTGAATATTGGCTTGCCTTGCTAGGTTGGGGAAGTCTTCCTGAATAATATCCTGAAGAGTATTTTCCAGCTTGGATTCATTCTCTTCATCACATTCAGGTACACCTATCAAACGTAGATTAGGTCTCTTCACATAGTCCACATTTCTTGGTGACTTTGTTCATTCCTTTTTTTGCTTTTTCCCCTAATCTTGGCTTCTTGTTTTATTTCATTGAGTTGATCTTCGACCTCTGATATCCTTTCTTCTGCTTGGTCAATTCGGCTGTTGAAAGTTGTGCATGTTTCATGAAGTTCTTGTGTTGTGTTTTTCAGCTTTTTCAATTCACTCATATTCCTCTCTAAGTTGTCCATTCTCGTTATCATTTCCTCAAATCTTTTTTCAAGGTTCTTAGTTTCTTTGCATTGAGTTAGAACATGTTCTTTTAGCTCACAGAAGTTTCTCATTATCCACCTTCTGAAGTCTGATTCTGTCATTTCATCACACTCATTCTCCATCCAGCTTTGCTCCCTTGCTAGTGAGGAGTTGTGATCACTTGTAGGAGGAGAGGTGTTCTGGTTTCAGGTGTTTTTTTTCCTTTTTTGCACTGGTTTCTTTCCATCTTTGTGGATTTATCCACCTGTTGTTTGTGTAGTTGCTGATTTTCAGATGGGTCTCTGAGTGGTTGTCCAGATTGTTGATGATGAAGTTATTTCTGTTTCTTAGTTTTCCTTCTAACAGTCTGGCCCCTCTGCTGTAGGACTGCTGAGGTCCATTCCAGGCCCTGCTTGCTTGGGGATCACCTGCAGCAGCTGCAGAACAGTAAGGGTTGCTACCAGTTTCTTCTTCTGCTATCTTTGTCCCAGAATGATGCCCGCCAAATGTCAGTCTGATCAGTCCTTTGTGAGGTGACTCTTTGGATACATGGGGGTTGGGGAGCTGCTTGAGGAGACAGTCTGTTCTTTATAGGAGCTCAAGTACTGAGCTGTGAGCTCTGTTGTTCATTCAGAGCTGCTAGGCAGGTACATTTAAGTCTGCTGCAGCAGAATTCATAAGCCCCCTTTTTTTCCCCAGGTGCTCTGTCCTGGGGAGTTAGGGCTTTATTTATGAGTATCCATTGTGCTGCTGCCTTTTGTTTTTTCAGGGCTGCCCTGCCCAGCAAGGAGGCAGCCTAGCCACTGTCTGCCTGAAGAGGCTTTGCTGAGCTGCTGTGGGCTCCACCCTGATGCCGTGTGAACTTCCCTGCAGTCCTGTTTGTATGGGTGTGGTTAGAACTGCCTTGGCAATGGTGGCCCACCTCTGTAATGGCGGACTCTCTCTGTTATGGTGGGTTGCCGCGCAATGGCAGGCTGCCTCAGCAATGGTGGACTACCTCCTTAGGGGTAGAGTGCCTTGGTAATGGTGGATGCCCCTCCCCCACTGAGCTGCACCATCCTGGGTTCAGCTGTGGTTGCCGTGAAACTCTCAACCCTGAGTGTTTCCAATTGCTGTTTGTTGTTGTTGTTGTTGTTGGGGTGGGACCCGCTGAGCCTGATCACCTGGCTCCCTACCTCAGAGCCTTTTTTTAAGTTGAACGGTTGACTCTCTCCCAGGTGTTCCAGGTGCCTGCTGAAAGGGCGCTGGGATCTGTGTTATTTAGTGTGCGGCAACCCATTGCGCCAGCTGTAAAAACGGTGCTGCCCAGGAATCTCCTGGCCTGGCTCCTTGTTTCAGACCCGTTTAATCAGATGAATGGGAGAATCTGCCTTCTTGGAGCTCCAATTGCCAGCTTAAAAGGGCAACCAGACCAGTGAATTTTGTATGGAGAGCCGCTGCGCTGGGGTGCTGGCAAAACAGCCACGCTGACTGAAACAGCCACGCTGGCCAAAACAGCCACGCTGGCAACCCGTGGGGCTCCTCCGCCTGGGAATCTCCTGGTCTGGGGGAAATAAAGGTCTGTCTGGAAATGCAGCATCCACTCAACCTCTGCGCTTTCACTGGGAGCTGCAATCCTGAGCTGCTCCTAAAGGGCCATCTTTGATCTTCTCAAGAGAGGTGTTTTCTAAAAAACTGTCATTATTCACAGGTGATATGATTCTTCATAGAAATCCCAAAAGAATATGAAAGCTTATTAAATTAATAAGTGAATAAATGATAAATTTTAAGCAGATTTGCTGGATATAGGACTAACAAATACAATTAATTAAATGTGATATGTCAGTAACAAAAAAGATAGCACTTACAACAACAAAAAGTAAAAAGTACTTAGAGGAAAATCTAAATTTGTGTAACCTTTAAGGAGAAAAATATAAAAATGTGTAAGGATCATTCAAGAAGCTATAAAGAAATGGAGACAAGAGACCAGATTATGGATAGAAAGGCCCATTTCTTAAGGATGCAATCTCCCCAGTTAATCTGTAAGATTAATGCAATTCCAATAACAAATCTGGCAGGGATTTTTCTGTCTTCAAAAAGCTGATCCTGAAATTTACATAAAACTGGTGAGGCGTGGTGGTGCGCACCTGTAATCTCAGCACTCCGGGACGCTGAGGCAGTCAGATCACCAGAGGTCAGCAGTTTGAGACTAGCCTGGCCAACATGATGAAACCTCATCTGTACTAAAAATACAAAAATTAGCCAGGCATAGTGGCGGGTGCCTGTAATCCCAGCTTCTTGGGAGGCTGAGGCAGGAGAATTGCTTGAACCTAGGAGGTGGAGGTTGCAATGAGCCGAGATCGCATCACTGCACTTCAGCCTGGGTGACAGAGCGAAACTCCATCTCAAAGAAAAAAATAAAAATAAAAACAGTAGACTATAAAAAAAGTGAAAAGTCAATGTGATAAGTCAGTGTGGGAAAATATATTTATAACACATATAACAGGCAAAGCATTAGGATTCAAAATGTATAAAAGATGTCTTCCAGATCAATAAGAAAAAGACAAAACTATTCAGTAGAAAATTTGGCAAAATATTAGAAACAGGCAATTCATAATTTAAACATATAAAAATGTCCAACTTTATTAGTAATTAGAGAAATGAAAATTTAAAAATAGAATACTATTTCATATTCATCAAATTGACAAAAATTAACAAGTCTGATAGAGTTTTAGCAAGGATGCAGAAAAAGAGGAACATTGCTGATATGAAAGTAGATTGGTTCAGCAATTTCAGAAAACAATTTGCCAATATATAGTGAAGTTAAGATGTTCATATCTTATAACACAGTAATTCCACTTGTAGGTATATATCCGAGAGATACTTCAGACGTGTGTACAGTAAAACATACAAGAATCGTTTTGAGATCTCTCAAAAATGTAAATTAGTTCAGATCACTTCCTTGCTCAAAATCCTTCAGGGCTGAGATTAAAACTCAAAGTCCTCATGAGGCCTACAAGGCTTACCAGTTTGCTTCTCTACCTCCCTCTCTGCTCTGCTCTCCCTCTTTCTGTTCTAGGCATGATGAGTTTGCTGTTTCTTGAACAGCCTCTTTTTCACCCTACGGCTGTTGGGCTCACCATTCCTTCACTTCTTCAGTGTTCCCCTATTTTTTATTTTGGCTTGATTTCTGGCATCAGTGAGACCTCTGTTGACCACCTTTTCCGTCCCTCCCTCCCTCCCTCCCTTCCCTTCCTCCCTTCCTGCCTGCCTGCCTGCCTGGTTCCTTCTTCCCTCCCTCCCTCCCCTCATCTTCCTTCCTTCCTTCTTCCTGTACATATTAGATGTACATATTTGGGGTACATGTGATAATTTGATACATTCATATAGTCGAATCAGGATAATTGCCTTAAATATTTATCTTTTTTTCATGCTAGGAAATTTGAATTATTCTCTTCTAGTTATCTTGAAATGCACAATAGATTGGTGTTAACTATAGTCACTCCACTAATCTATTGAACATCAGGTCTAATTTCTATTAAGTATGTATTTGTAACCATTAACCAACCTCTCTTCATCCCCTGCCCTTCCTGGCCTCTGGTAACCATGAATCTACTCTCTATCTTCATGAGATCCACCTTTGTAGCTCCCACATATGATGAGAACATGTGATATTTGTCCTTCTGTGTTTGGTTGCGTCTACCTTTTCTAAAATAGCTGCCAGGACTGCCTCTTCCCCCCAACCCTGCCAGTTCCTTTATCTCCTTTGGCTGGTTTATTTTCCTTCCTGCCTGACATTATATTCTATATACATTGTTCCAGCATTTATTTCTGTCTCTCCTACTAGACTGTGAGCTTCCCAGGGGCTGAACATTTTCTGTCTTACTCATTGTTGTATTTCCAAGTATCTAAAATGATGCTTGCTTGGCACAGGGTGGGTGCTCAATCACAGCTCTTTCAATGAATGAATGAATTGATTTGCATGATAGTCAAGATACATCAATTTTGATGGGAAGGAAACATTTAGAGGACACAAAGAGTACTTCTTGGTAAAAACAAAGCCATTAGCGTTACAGATCCATGCGAAGAATTCAAAGAAGATTGGTTCATCAAGTGTAAAAGAATATTCTTCAGAAACAGTTTGAATATGTAGAACTAAGTTAATAGATTAAACATACGTAGATATCTGAGTATTTCATCTATATTCCTAAAAGTTTGTATATTCAGGTTGATCAGAAAACTCTTGTGACTGTCCCTTGGGAAACCTTATATTCAGGTTGTCTGACATGTTGACACACTGGAGCCTGTACAGTCATTCTGTCTGCCAGGCAGTCATTCCCAAGTACCCAGGGTCAGGCCCAGCCTCAGGCATAGGGCCAGGGGGTAGCAAGGACATAGAAGGGGAAGGGAGTCAGGCACACTGAGCATCTGCTATGTGCCAGGAACTCTGCCTGGGTTTCTCTCTCATGAGGGTGACTTAGGAGCACCCCTTCCCGGGCTCAGGCAAGGATCAGGCCAGGACTCCAGGGCTGTTCAGCTCACTCTGACTTCTCCAATCCTCGTTTACCCTGCAGTTCTCGGAGATCTTCTTTGTGTCCATCTGCATCTCTGAGTTGGCCATGAAAGTCTACGTGGACCCCACTGACTACTGGAAGGATGGCTACAACGTGATGGATGTGGTCATCATCATCATTATATTTCTCCCCTATACCACCCGCAGGTTCCTGGGCAAACAGTTCACTTACCTGTATGTCGCTGATGGCATGCAGTCCCTGCGCATCCTCAAGATTATCAGATATAGCCAGGGCATCCGGGTAAGTGCACTGGGGGTGCCATGGTGCTGGGAGGGCAGGCTATAGGCCCTTCTGCCACTGAGACCCTGAGGAAATCATGACTCTACTACTATCTTCCAGTTATTGAGTCCAACATGTGTGGCAGATTGATCTTTGCCAGCATTATCTCAATCTTAAAATAATTCTAAGAAAAATATTCTTAGCTCCATTTTACAGATGAAGAAATTGAGGCCCAAGGTCACCCAGCAGTGAAATGTCAGAGCTGAGATTTGAAAAGTGTGTCTGACTCCAGAGGCCGTCTGAACTTTTCCTTTCTCTCATGCTTCAAAATGCAAAGATTTTCTCATGTGACACATCCTTTGAACTACATGCCCAGGAAGCCTTGGCTTTTTGGTGGTCGAGGCTACTAGCTGCTTTCCCCAAACAGCTGCGAGTCTGCTGCTGTCTTGCTGGGAATAGTCTCTGTGCTTCCTTAGGGTGGCTCTGGAAGGGCTACTCCTGAGAAGTCTTCCTGGGTTGCTGAAAACCATGGACTGACCAACAGTCCCTTGACTCGGAAGGTTTCAGAATGAACCTCAGGGATACCCCACTACTCTGAACCGTGCCCCAGGCACTTGTCCTGCACACAGTAGGTTTGCTTGGCTCTGACCTAAGGGGAACTGGGCAGCCCTCTCCTGGGACTGGATTTCTGCCGATTTCTAGACTACACACGAAGAGAGCCTGCCTGGATTGTGCTTAAAGAACCTGGCAAAGGCCAGCTGTCATGGGTCCTATATGGGGCTTCCAGGAGAGCGTGACTGTTCCTCTACTGCTGCTGTCAAGGTCGCTCAGCTTGGACCTCAGGTGGCACCAGCTTGTGGGGTGGCCTGGAGGTGGGAGCCCAATCAGGCCTCTCTGCAACACTTCTGCGCAGGCTTTGGGTTCTACCACCCCGTGTTCCTCCCTTCCCACCCAAAACCCAATCTGCAGACCACATCTCATCACAGCTTTTCTCATGAGAATTTACTGCTTTCATCTTAGTAGTCCTTGGGAAAGAAATCCTGCCTTTAGTGGGGAGGAAGGCTTAAAAAAAAAAATCTTGGCTCTTTTACAATTAATCCAAAAACATGACTTTTCTCTTCTCAAGGAGAGATGGGAGGCATCTGGTGTGCATTCACCCCTGCAGGCAGCGCCAGACCATTTCACATACAGGGCAGCCCAGGACCCTTGGACCATCCCTGTTTCCCAGGTTACCCCAAACTGTCCAAATGGTACTGTCTTGTTCCCTAGCTCTAAGGACCTTCTTTCCTAGTACTAAACCAGTGAACAGTCTCTGTGCTCAGGGTCATTAGTGGCATGGGGCAAAGGCCTTGAGAGTTGGTCCCAGCTCTGCCATTTTATTGGAGTGTGACTGTGGCCAAGACAGTTTGCTTCTGTGAGTCTCTGACCACTCGTTTTGAAATGGGAAGAATGATAACACCTACCTGCCTTGAGATTATGTCTGTGAAATGTCTGAGTATATGAACATCCATTGAGTGTCTACTGCATGCAAGACTCCAGAGCAGGAAGACTGAATGATAAGGTGCTCCCCCGAAATGGGCAATGTAGTGGGGAGATAAGACAAATGCCCATTTCACATGGGGCAGGACTGAGGTTATAAGACAGGGACCTACCTGTGAAGGTGGGGTCGACAACAACCAGGGAGCCATGTTCCTCTCGGCCCTCTATTCTCACTCCCACAATGTTTCCCCTATTCCTCCTGGGCCTGGAGCAGAGAGCATTCAGGGCTGGCCCTCAGCTGAGAAGCAGGAGCAGGACGCCCTGAGATGACCACACAGCCAGGTTGGGGTTCAAGTGGTGTGGTCACCTCAGACCTGAGAGAAGTGACTGAGGGTGTCAGATATTGGTAAAGCACTGTCAGATTGATCCAGCTGTCAATCTGGGCACAGTTCTGATTCACTTCATTAATTCATTAGTTCATTCATTCAGCCAACCAACTAACTGGCATGGCACCAGTTGCTGGGGACAGCTGTGAACTGGGCAGAATGGACCTCTGTCCCTGGAGCTCGCCCAGCCTGGCACCCTCACCTACCACAGTGTTCCTGCCTTGCAGATGATGATCTCCGCCATGAGGCAGACAGTCTACACTGTGGCCTCTGTGCTTCTCCTGCTCTTCCTACTCATGTACATCTTTGGTATCTTGGGCTTCTGCCTATTTGGATCTCAAGACAGGGGTGACTATGATAACTGGGGGAACCTGCCCGTGGCTTTCTTCACCCTCTTCAGCTTGGCCACGGTAATGTGTTTGGGAACAGTGGTGAGGACAGGGGCCTTGGGAAGGGATGGCCCGGGTGGTATGAGCGTGTGGACATGTGGGGCTTCACATGGGGCTTGCTTCATGTCCAGGTGCTCAGCTGGGCCCAGGGAAGCTGAGGTATGTTCCCCGTTACAGGTCAGCCCATCACATGGGCTCCGTCGCTGTCTGTAGGCCTGTGACTCCTTAGAGTGCTTCCACATGTCTCACGGGGTGATCAAACGTTTCAGAGTTCTCAAATGATAATTCATTTGGGTTAAGGTTAATTTATAAATGAAACCCATGTCACATAGCCTTTTGAGGAACAGGTTGTCACAAATCCACCTAGAAGAAGCATGCAAAACTCAAATCTAGAAATCTAGATTCTGTTGGACTCTGGAAAGAGTGGGATCTTTTTAAAGTTGGGACTGGCAGAGAGGCAGTATCTTTCTGGGAAAGTTGGGAGGTTTAGAGAAAAGAGACCCTAATCCATGTAGGTCAGTGGTATCCCCACCCAGGGGTGCTCTGCATTCCCAGGCCATCATGTATGTGCTGGAGCCAGTGGACAGGGAGGTGCTGAGGGACTGACATCGAAGCAGAGCCACCCTCCTCCTCAGTGGAGCTGGGACTCCCCTAGCATAGGCGAAGGTGAAGAGGAGGCCTTGTGCTGCTGGGCCCAGGGCCCTCAGCATACCCTGCCTTGCTTGAGCAGGTTGATGGCTGGACAGACCTGCAGAAGCAGCTGGACAATCGGGGTTTTGCTTTGAGCCGGGCATTCACCATCATCTTCATCTTGCTCGCCTCTTTCATCTTCCTCAACATGTTCGTGGGTGTGATGATCAGGTACACAGAGGTGAGGCCATGGCTGTGAGGATCAGAAGTCAGGGCAGGTGTGGCAGCTGGAGCTATGGGGCAAGTCTCCAGGGAGGACCTGAAGCTGTGTCTTCCCAGTGAAGTGGAGTAGAGGTGGCTGGATGGGCCTGTCCCTCACCCAGCCCAACCCTCCTCCTTGAGCCAGTGCATTTGCCTTGCCTGCTGATGGTGGTCAATAGGACGGTGGGGCTGAGGAAGCCTCTGAAGCTGCAGTTGGCAGCTTGAGTGGGGGCTGGTCCTGGGTGGAAGAAGTGCTCCTGCTGAGGACCTGAGCAGCAGTGCAAGGCTGGGGAAGAGGAAAGACTGGGCGTGGGCATGCAGCGAGAGCCCACAGTTGACCTCCATCTTCTGACTTTAGGACTCCATCAAAAAGTTTGAGCAAGAGCGGACGTTGGAGCGGAAGATGACACTCATGGAAGAGAAGCAGGTGATTCTGCAGCGGCAGCAGGAGGACATCAGCAGGCTGATGCACATGCAGGTGAGTGGCCCCCACAGGCAGGTGGAAAGATGGGTGGAGCTGTCAGCCTGATCGTCAGGCTCATGGGGTGGCCAGGAGGAGGGACTGTGAGGCCTGGGTAGAGAGCAGGTAGCCTCAGGCGCCTGCAGCCTTAGGTAAGATACCCACTTTCCTCCCATATTCTATAGAATCAGCCTTGACTGTCGGCACTTATGTGTTTCTCTGCACCTTTCGGAGTGTTGAGTGCTGTGATTATAATGTCTCCCGCTGCTGTGGGCAGAACTCCGCTGCTGGGCCCTTTGGGGCCAGGCAGTCTGTGCTGAAGCTTCTTCCTGAGAGCTCGTGGGTGCCAGACAGCCATGGCCCCAGGCCACTGAGTGGACAAGGATGCAGAGGCCCTGATAGGGTGCCAAACAACCTTGGTTTTGTCACATACCTAAAACCAAAACAAGAATGAGCACATCAGGCTGGCGATTGCCTGTCAAGCATGATGCAACCATGAGGAAGCAGGGTAAATTTTCCCTCTGAGCCTGAGTGCTCTGAGCCTCCCATGCTGAGCCTCAGGTGCTCTGCTGGGCCTTCCTCCCTTGGTGGGTACATCCCTCCTTGGCCTCTTCTCTGGGGTGGAGACATGCCCCTGTCTTCACTGTGCCCAAGGTTTGTCCAGGGCTGGGAGAGGCTGTGCTGAGCCTCACTTGGACTTCATGTGCCTCCTGTCCTCAATGGTGGCCACCTCACTTGGGGGCCCAGGCTCAGAAGCGGTCAGGATGAACTTGTGACCAGGCTGAAGCCTCCTCTCAGGGCCAGGGTCAGGCCTCTGCCTGGGGCCCATCCTGGAGGGTCCCCATTTTTTTTGTATAGCTCGGCTGTCACCTCCTCATCACTGCTCTCTCATTATGCTTTCCTCTCTAGAAAAAACGCTGACTGCAAAAGTTTCAGTGAGTTGGTGGAGAACTTTAAGAAGACCTTGCGCCACACTGACCCGATGGTCTTAGATGATTTTGCCACTAGCCTAGCCTTCATTGACATCTACTTTTCCACTCTGGACTACCAGGACATGACTATCCACAAGTCAGTTCCAACCCCTGCCTTTCCTGGTCTCTGGGGCTTCCTTGAGGTCGGGCTGTGTCAGGTGCCCTGGGAGAGTGAAGGGGTTGATGGCTGATGTGCTGATAGGCAGTGGGTGGGTGGAACTTGGCTTTCTTGGGGTGCAGGATTCCATGTGTACATTCCATGGGCTGCTGTGTGGACAGGCCATGGCTGGGGGAAAATCTGCTCCTCCTGCCCCTCCCCAACCCCTCTTGACTTGTATGTAAATGCCAGCTCCTTAAAGTCTCTAGGCCTCTCCTCACTAACCCCTTTACAGAGCACAGAGGAAAGACCACTGGGTGGCCTTAGCTTCTGGCCTGGTTGTGCCACTACCTTCCTGTGTGGCCTTGAGCACTTCTCTTCCCCTTTCCCATCTGTCACAGGAGGGGCTGCTGGGCTGATTCAATGAAAACCATATATATGAAGCTCTGAGCTTGACCTGGCCCAGGACTTGTGCTCAGCGTGGGTCGGCTGGGATTATGAGCAGCCATTATTGAGCAGGAAGGATGTAAGAATCTGGCTGTGTGCGCCAGGGAGCCTCAGTGGGCTCCTCAGTGAGGACAGGTGTGATTAGTCCAGCTTCTCAATGAAAGCTGCCCGGAGGGCTTTAGAGCTGGGAGAAACAAAAAGGAAGGCGTTGGGGAATGCCCACTGTTAACCCAACAGGGGGTCAGTCACTCTCTGGGCACCCCCATACAGTTACTTCTCTCAGAGCCTAAGAATTTATTTCCGATGTGATATGTGAGGTAAGATCCCTTGCACCAGGGGGCCCCAGGCAGAGTGGCAGATCCAGGATTCCAACCCAGCCTGATCTGGCTCTGAGGTTCCTGCTCTTCTTTGACCCTACACCTGCGCAGGTGCTAATGTATGGTGAGTGGGGCCAGGGGTGCCTGGAGCCTGCCCCTCACCTCAGATCTTGTCTCCTCCTGCTCCATTTTTCAGGCTTCAAGAGCTGTACTATGAGATTGCACATGTGTTGGGCCTGGTGCTGGAAGACTTGCCCCAGAAGAAGCCCCAGTCCTTGGAAAAGGTGGATGAGAAGTAGCTGGGCATGGAGGCACCCATGTGCTGAGGGCCTTGCAGACTGTGACAGGTCCCTATTAAACACAGGCTTTCTGAGTTGGCCCCTCCAGAGTTGCTGTGATTATGGCATTTCTCCACCTTTGAGAGTTAGGCCTGGATAGGTGCTCATGAAGCGTGATTCCCTAGAGCCAACCCCAGTCCCTCACCACAGGACATGCAGACCACAAGAAGAGCAAGAGGGAGGCTCAAGACTTGTCCTGGCCAGAGGCCACATCCAGGGGCCATGCTGGCTCTAGGTTCCCTGGACCTAGCAGCAAGGAACTGGGGAAGCTGCCTGAGGACCATAGATCAAGAGGGCCTCCAGCTGTTCTCTGAAGCACATGGTCCCCTTGAGCTGGGGTGGCCCTGCTGATCTGGGTGTGGGTGTTCTCATACTGACAGAGTTGCATCTTTTTCTGTGGACCCACTGCTACAGAGACCTCTCTTTGGAAGGTTACTCTCATTTCTCCTAGGCTCACCCCAAGGGGTGTAGCTAAAACTGGCAGGATTCTGTTGTGTGGGCCTAGAGCTCAGTCTGGGGGAGCAGCCTGCTGGCAATGCCAGGGCACTCTGCACAGAGCCCAGGAAGGTCCAGCAGCATCAGCACTTTGGGCTGCTGCCTCGTATGGCTAGGTGGTATTTTCTTTGTCATTCCTGGCCAAATGACTACTAGGGCTACCAAGGTCCTGGCACCTGTCTGGCTTAGCCATGATGGAGCCATCTGAAGGCCCCAGAAGTGCAGGGCAGTGCAGCACAGGTGATACTCCTTGCTCCAGACTGGCCAGCCCAGAGGCCTGACAGTGCCCACTCTACACCATTGCTGGGGAGTATGCCTGAGGCCTGTCACCTTGGCTGTGCCACCTCAGACAGAGGGGGAGGTATGTTCTACAACTGGCACCTATAGCTGGGTGCAGAAAGGCCCTGTACCCACACTGGGCATTCAGGTTAGCAGAAAATGCATGGGGTAGAGTAAAGAGCTATGCTGGGGGCTGGGGCTTCCATGACAAAAAACCCATGGTCTCGCCCTGGCCCTCTTGGTGCTCGTGGTTGTGTGGGGAAGACAGTCATCCCACCAGTTTTCCTGAGAAAGTGACAATAATTGAATTCAGGGTCAAGGGGCTGAGTTGAGAGAATCAGGGCCACGTTGGGAATCATGAAAGCAGTGTGGAAGAAGGATGGCTCTTCAGGGTGAGACCTATCGAGGTGCTGTGGGGGAATCCTCTGAGGGCAGGAATTGCAGCCTGGCCACTTCCTGCATGGAGATAGCATTGTGTCCATGCCCTGAAGCTGGCCTGGGGTCCATAGGGTGTTTGTGCCCCTCCTGGCAGGGGGAGATGCTCTGGGTCTGACATGCGCAGGGATGACTCCAGGCTTTGGCTTCCAGGGGTGCTCTTATGGGTGCAGCCCTGTTAGCAGGGCAGACAGGCCCCAGCTGATGGCTCTAGTTCAGGGCTGGGGCAAAGCAGACATTGCCAGCTGCTCACACAGGGTGTGCCAACGTAGCCATGGGAATGCTAAAACATATCCAGCTACTCCCATCAGGCATCCTGGGAATTGCCCTAGGCATCTGAGAGTGAACAAAAGATTTGAAAATTGGCCTCAGTGAGGCAAGGTAGAAAGTGCCATGTTTTTGGAGTTGGGAGACTTGGGTTCCCTAATAGGGAGACCTTGGGCAAAGTGTCTGGTCTTTGAAACCTCACCTATTTCCTATGAGAAATGCAATGATAAAACTGATTGGCTACAAGGATCAAATCTCCATAGGCATGTGAGAAAAGAGGCAGTCAGCTCATGGTTCACGCTTCCTCACTGTCAACCCTGCACCTCTGCTGGGGGCACCTATAGTGGGCTGTGCTGGTCAGGGGTTGAGAGGGGTGAGGTCATCAGGGTGGCTGTGGGGAAAGTATGGAGCTGAGAGCAGGATGTCAGAGGTCAGAAACCTGCACAGGGGTATGATGGGCCCTGAGATGGAGCTGGTTCAGAATGGGCAAAAGGCACATCAGATCTGGAAGGCCTGGGTCCCATGCCTAGGAAGGCAGCCTTTGGACCCAGACACCAGAGTGTGGTGTGGGAGGGTGCATTAGTCCATTTTGTGTTGCTATGAAAGAATACCGGAGGCTGGGCAATTGAAAAGAAAAGAGGTTTATTTGGCTCGTGGTTCTGCAGGCTGTCCAGGAGGCATGGCACCAGCACCTGCTTCTGGTGAGGCCTCAGGAAGCTGCTACTCGTGGTGGAAGGCAAAGTGGAGCCAGTGTGTCATGTGGTGAGAGAAGGAGCAAGAGAGAGGGGAGGAGGGCTGCCAGACTCTTCCAAACAACCAGCTCCCGTGTGAACTAACAGAGTGAGCTCTCACTCATGATGGAGAGGGGGCACCAAGCCATTCATGAGGGAGCTGCCCCCATGATCCAACACCTCCCTCTAGACTCCACCTCCAACATTGGGGATCCCATTTCAACATGAGATTTGGAGTGGTGGACACATAGCCAAATTCTATCAGGAGGCAAGCTGCCTTTAAGGGCACAAGAAGAAGGCTTTTAGAGAGCAGAGAGCTGGTGGGGGCAGAGGTGACGTGCACAGGGCCGGCCCAGCACTGCTGGCAGAGCAAGCTGATGGATATTTGGCACAAATTCCCAAAGCAGCATTTCTGTTTGGCTCTATTCGCCTGCAAAGCAAACACTGGCAGATTGGAATTCCCACTTGGGCTCTCACCAACTCAAACAGGCCTGGCCAAGACCTTTAATTGATTTGCTTGGGGCAGAAGTGGCTCTGCTTACCCACGCCTGGCTGTGGAAAGCAAGACCCTCCTCACTCTCCCTGGACCCTGGGATCTAGTAGGTTTGACCCTGAATGGCTCCTTCATCTCCAGCCTGCCAGCCTGATAGTTTGGGGGCCATACGGGGAATGCAGAAGACCCAGGGCCAAGTCTTCTCCTGGTCATGCCCAAGCCCTCCCCCAGTTCTTGTGGGAAGGATCTGGAATTCAAGGCTGGAGGTGTTGGGAAGGTGGCCGGATTTTCTTTCTTTAAATCTGCTTTCTGATTCCACCAGTGGGAAGCAGGCCCTGTATTGTGGATATCCAGGCAGTGACTGAGAATGTGAATGCTCCTCTCCATTCCAATAGGCCCTAGAAATCTGATTCTGAAATGCTGGAGACTGTGCCCCTTGAGGCTTTCTTTGAATCTTTAAGATACCTCCTAGAACAAACTGGCCCTCAATAGATCAGGTCTGGCTCTCTGGGCATCTCCACCTGTGTCAGGCTTTGTCCCTGGCCCCACATGGGTCTGCTGTGTTGTCCTACAGGCCCTCAAGAGAGAAGATGGTTCTGAATTCCTGACTAGGCAACTCAGAAAGAAGAGGTGGTTGTTCTGATTGTAGTCACAGGGGTTGGAAAGAGGGAAAAGAGATAAATGCGATGGTGCAAAGTCTGTCAACACATGGGCATCCCCACTCTCCCCCATACTGTGCCACAAAGAATTTTGTCTGTGTCACAAAGAATTTTGTCTGTGTTTGGTCAGCCACAGGCTGCACCTGCCCCAGGTTCTATGTTTGACTTTACTGTGGCTCTCTGTGATGTGGCATTAGGGAATGGTGGAGAGCCCAGCCTGCAGAGCTGGAGTGGAGGGAAAGGGGAGTGTTTTTGCTTTCTCAGCCAGCTTCAGCATCCTCCTCCATGCTGGTTAATCAGGGTAATGGGCAAAACAGAGGGAAAGTTAAAACACCAGCAGGGCTGGATGGATACACAACAGGGAGCCAGGACAAGGGAGGGATGAAGGAAGCAAAATCTGGGGGCTGAGAGCCTGGGAACTATGGACAGCAGCTATGACACAGCTGGTGTGTGTGCCCTGGAGAGGACCAAGGAGAGGTTAACTGTCCTTGTGGGTCAACAACAGGATCCCTATGGGTGTTTTCTGAGAGAGGCAAATGATGATTGGAATTATCTTAGAATTATTTTTGGTTGCTGTACCGTTAAAAAATGAAGCCCCATGGACAGATTAGACCATGTGAAGTCTGGGTTATATTTGGGTTTTATAAAAGATCACCCTGCATAATAGAGACCTATTGGGTTAACAGTGGGAAATGCTAAGAGGGCTTTCCATGGACTGAGCCCTTAGCTGGGATCAGGGGCCTCCAGGTGAAGCATACCAGAGGGTGGTGGCACCAAGTATGATTGTCTTCTTCCAAAATGAAACTAAAGTATCAGAAGGGAAGTGTGGAAGAAGCCATAAGGGGATGAAGAGCCTATTTCAAAACTCTTGGGAAACTGCAGAGTGAGTGGGACCCGTGTGAACTGGTGATAGGACCGTCCTCATCACCAGTGGTGGTGTCCTCACAGCAGCAGAAACTCACTGTCCTCCAACTTGGCATTTAGGGACCACTGCCCCTGATTTCCTCTCTCTCCAGTGCTACTTCAAGCCTGGGATTGGGGTCTGAGATAAAAAGAACTCTTTAAAACTTGAGGCTGGAGCTGGGCGTGGTGGCTCACACCTGTAATCCCAGCTGCTCAGGAGGCTGAGCTGGATCGCTTGAGGCTAGGAGTTTGAGACCAGTCAGGGCAACATAGTGAGAACCCATCTCTACAATGTAAAAAAGAGAAAAAAGAAAAAAGAAAACTTGATGCTGGCCCAGAGAAGGAGGGATCCAAACAGAGGTCAGGCTACAGTTTCAGTGGCATAGCCTGTTCTCCTTGCTGTGCCCTCTGTTTTGCCAGTATTTCTGTTTCTAAGATCTTTTTAAATATATGACTTCAATCACCTAACAACGCATATTCCCATTAAACAAGTGGCAAAACTAAGGTTCAAAGAGATGTGTAACCTATCTAAGTTTGTACGACTAAGGGGGAAGAGCCAGGATTCACAACCAAATGTGTCTGGCTCTTTAGCCACTCTGCCATGGTGTCACCCAACAATCTTCTAAGGAATTGCCCCCCTGTATAGGTGGAAAAGCCAGCGCTCAGAGACACACTGGGCCAAGGTCATCATTAAAGGGCAGAGTCAGCATTTGAACACAGGTGCCTCTGCTCTACTGCCTCATAGTGACCTTTTTCTTGTTAAAGCAGCTATTTTTTCAACTTTAGAAACCAAGCCATGATTCCCTTCTGAGAGGGGCCTGACTCTGGGAGGAGGTGGGCATGGTTGCTCAGACAGGCCTCAGTTGGCCATTGAGTTCACTGGCACCTTCTCAATCCTTGGTCCAGGCTCTGAAGTTTGCTGGCCCTGGGAGCCCTGGGAGCCTGGCGATTGGGAGGACATCAGGAAGCAGTCAGTGTGTGCAGAGAGGGTGGTGACTGCGGCAGCTAATCAGGAAATTACAGCCTGGGCAGAGAGAGAGGTTTGGCTTAGACGTCACCTTTCCCTGGGTCCAGTACAGCAGGCCCACATGGAAGCTTGGCTGAGGTCAGGATGTGCTGAGCAGGCATGAGCGGGTTACAGCAGGCAGGATGCGCCAGCCTGGTCAGTGTCCTGCAGAGCTGTCCAGACACTCCCATGGCTGGCCTCTTGGGTGGCGACTTGCAGGCAGTTCCCTCTGCCTGCTCTTGCACCCACTCATAACTTGATCTGCAGGAGTGGCAGCTGTGGGCCCCTGGAGGGGGTGCCTTGAGAGGCTCTTGGCTGGAGCTTTTTATCTGACCCTTGAAAGGGCAAGTGGAAAAGGAGAGAAAACATTATTGGTGGGAAAAGCCAGCTGCAGAACTGTACATATGTGACACCATCTGCATTAAAGTGAAAAAAAAAAAAAAGAAATAAATAAAACACCACACATAAAGTGGCAGTGAGAGATTTTGTTTCTCTTTTAGGTGGCAAAGATGAAAGACAAAACCTAGGGTTGATTGCCCCGGATGTGGAGAATGGACACCCTTGTCTACTTATGGCAATGCAAATCAGTGTGGCCTTCTCATAAGGCAACGTGGATTAGATCTCATATGTGCATTTCTAGGTCCCAGTCATTCTACTTCTTGAAATTATCCCAAGGAGCTAAATAAATGTCAAATGTACAGAGATGCATGGATAAGGATGTTTACTGTGGCTTATGATAATAGAAATATAAGGAATCACCTAAATGCTCATTGGTGAGGAACTGGCTATGTTATTATGAATCCATAGTTGTGGGCATTAAAAGGAATGATTACACAATAAAAAAGATGTTCCTGATATTGTATTGAGTGAAAAAAGTGGCTTTCTAGAGCAGCATGGGATCTGGCATCCTTTTTGTAACAGCGAGTGGGCATATAGAATGAATGAGCACATAGACACATATGTCTGATGAAGGACGTCTGCAGGGATATTCATAAAAATATTCATAGTGGTTTGGGGGATCTTAATTTTGTCCTCACACTTTTTTGAATGTTTTGCATTTTAAGAATGAGTATGTATTTTATGATCAGGAAAAACAACAGTTTTTACCTTGAAAACATTATACATGCGTCTCTGTGGTAGGTGGAAGGGCATTCTCTGCAGAAGGAACCAAATGCACAAAGAAGAGAGGGTGGGAGCTCACTGAGGGTTTAGGGAGGGCGGAGAAGTCAGTGTGGCTGCAGCCTGTGCTGTGGAATGGGCAGTGCGGGGACTGGAGGTTGGGGCAGTAAGCTGGAGCTGGATCCTGAGGGTCTTACATGCTCAGCAGGGCAGTTTGGCTTTTAAGGGATGGGAATAATGGTAAGCAAAGCATTGACTTGGCCAGATTTCATTCCCACTGCCTCTGAGGGTGGCTGTATCCCCCTCACTTGGCATCTGAGGCCCCTCTATTCTCTCTAATCTGTCTTGTCTTCCTCTTCCCATGTCTCCCAGGGATCCCCTTTGCCTGGCTCAGTCTCACCTCTACTCCTGCATACCTATCTGTTCTGTTAGAGGGGGCTGAGTACCAGGCCCCCTCTAACAGGAAGCCTTCCCAGATTGCTCCCACTAGCCTTGATTTCTCCTTTCTCATACTCTCACCCTTGACCTTTCATACCCTACCTTGAATCAGACCTTAATTCCTCTACCCATAGATATTTCTTCTAGCACCAGCTGAGGGGGACTATGGACTACAAGATCATCCCTAACACCTGGATGCCAGTGACCAGCCTGCCTGAGATATGCCAGCTTTAGAATCCTGATGGAGGGAGGGAGGGGGAGGGCAGCATAGAGACCTAGCAGTTATTATGTGCATATACGTCACAGGCATAGTGCCAAACATCACGTATAACTTTTCATATTTTCCCACTTTACAGATGAGGAAACAAACCCAGAGAAGTTCTGTGACTGAATAAGTGCTGGTGCTGAGAGTTAAACTCAGGCTCTGCCTAACTCCAAAGTTTGTACTCTTAACCTCCATGATCTTGTCTCTGGCCCTTACCTCCCCACCCCACCCGAAGGTAGACTGGGCTGGGTGGGCTGAGGCAGGGCCTTCCTAAGCTTTGCTGGCCAGAGCAGGAGGTTGGTGAAAGCCCAGGACTCAAGGGACTTCAGGGAGGGACATGAATCCCTCTCACCCAACAGGGAGCTCCTGACCTGGTGGAGGATCAGGGCAGTGTAGCAACCGTGCTGGGGGCTTGGAAGTGCCACTGCCCCCAAGGAAGCAAAGCAAGCGGAGGGAGGCTGGACACGTTGATCAAGAAAGAGCGTCTTCACTCAGAAATCCTCCAGCAATAGGAGGTCAGTGAGATGAAAATGAGTAGTTTTGTGTCCCTGAAGCAACAGCCCACTTGAAAGCAATATTTAATGGTCACATCCAGGGTCTTTTCAAACTCTGATAGGAAACCCGGAGAGACAGGCAGGTGGGGTCAATGTCTGCTTGACAGAGGGTTAGAGGGGCTTTGTGAAGTGTAGTCATGCCCTGGAAAGAGCCCCACCCATGGGCTAGAATTTGGGCTCCTTGACTCCCCAAGGGGATCATGCCCTCTTCTGGGCCCCTCCATGAGCCTGGGCTCAGTGGACATCCCTGTATTGAGGGGCGTGGTGAGTCTCTGTGATCCTGGGGGGCTGGGTGGGCCTCAGTAGCCCCACTGTGGGTTCTGGACTGTGGGAGAGTTGAGAGGCATTGTGGAGTTAATGCAAAGCTTGGGAGAAGCCAGGGGTTCACTATGAATTGTGTGTGCTTGTATTCATTCTGGCCTTGGTGACACAATTGGAATGCCAGCTTGGGGGATGGAGGAAGGATCCTTGGCCACACCGTGCCTGGGGTGGGGTCTTTTGTGTAAGGATATCCTTTATTGAGTTGCATTTACCCGGACGGGGAGAGAGGTGTGTGCGTCTGTATGGGCATGTGTATGCACAAAGAGGCTGGAGTCTGGGTGGGGATGAGCATCCATCCCAGTGTGTCCTGGAAGGTTCCCAGATAGGCCACAGGAGGGAACAGTTTGGGGAAACCCTTGCTGGTCCCCGCCACAGCCTGGCAGGCGGCGAAGTGGCCAGCCGCTTTGTGGCTGCGATGTCTTAGAGAGTTTGCCGAGCACTTTGTGTGAAGTCATTGGGATGTTAAACCCTTGGTTCAATTAAATGGGTTAATAAGTATTGTCTGATTTTGATGAAGAATAATAATATAATGTGATAATAGCAATAATGGTGCTATTAGCTGCGATTATCACACGTGCCACACTCTCCCGGGCACGGAGGGGGTTGCAGCTTGCATTCCCGCATGCACAGGCTGCATTTTCCACTCATAAAACCCCATTCTTCAAAGCCTTTCCAGCCCAACTCCCGATATCCATTTTCAGGACAAATTACCAACACTTAAAAAAAATTGGTCCATTTTTCGTGAAAGCCAAGTTCAAATTACTGTTGCTTTCCCCTTTATGTTGAAAACTTAAAAAAAGGGTAGGGGTGGGAGCTGAGGGGGACACAGGAGACAGATAGAGGAGGGGGAAAGAGGGCAAACAGTGTGTGGACGAAGAAGAAAAAAGCGAGCCTTCTTGTTTCAGTAAAAATGTATTTCTGGAATGATGTTTCAGTTTACTCAGGCAGAAAAATTAGAAATGGTGTGCTTATTAAACAGGCTAAGTAAGCATGACTATTTTTAGTAGTGTAGTAAAACCTTGGTAATTTGGACTTCTTTAATAAAGATTCCATGATCATGCGGGCTGGCAGGCACACACTGTGTGTGTGTGTTGTGTGTGTCAGGGCAAGATAGGGGTGCAGATCGGTTGCTGAATTGGAGGTTAGGGAGAGGGGAGGGTGCAAGAAGGGACAAAAGGGAGAGGGAAGGACTCCCTATTAGGAGAACCTGCTTCAAACACTGAACTCTTTTGCTTAGTAATCAAAGATAATTACAAATTCTTCTCACTGAACACTCTTATTGGCACCTACCTATTTGACATCTGTTCAAAGAAGAATGTATTTCAAAGCAAAAATTTCATTTCTATAAAAATCTGTAAAGGTTTACTTGATAGCTGCCATACTGGCCCCCCTCAAATGAGGCTGCATCCCAGGTAGGTGATGACTGGCACCTCAGCAGGAGGACAGGGGGAGTGGGCAGAAGGCTACTCCCTGTCCTGCGGGTCACAGGGTTTTGTATTTTTAAAATAGTGATTATTTTATTTCATCATTGCAAAAGTGATAAACTGTCAGTGCAGAAAAACCTTGAAAGGGACAAATGTAAAATGCTCATTTTCTCCCTGTCAAAGGTGGCTGCTTTAACACTTTGTACATATCCATAAATTTCTCTGTGCATACATAAGAACAAAAATGATACTGTGCTTAAGACGGTTTCGTAGCTTGCCTTGTTTAGCTTTTTTGACAGAGAAGCTTGATTAAAAAACAGGGCAATAGTGAATCTATATTTAATTTTATGCTAAACTTACAAAGAAAAGTCATCCATCCCAGGTTGCTCTTTCCTGGCCACAAAGTAGATGCTTGATAAAGGAAGTGTCCTTAATGGAGTCCCACGGCTATGCTGCATAGAAGGATGCAGAGTCAGGATGAGGGCCACGCAAGAGGTCTGCTATTGCTGGGCCTCCAAGGGGCTGCTGGTTGAAGAGAATTGTAGGGAAAGATTTGCCAAACAGTGAACACAGCCCCTGGGGTCCTGGGAACCAGCCTCCAAATGCCTCTCTGGGTAATGCAGGGCATAAATACTTTTTGAATAAAATTGAGGTAAAAATAGACATAAAATAAAATCTACCACTAACTTTTTTTTGTTTTTGAGACTGAGTTTTGCTCTTGTTTGTTGCCCAGGCTGGAGTGCAATGGCATGATCTCAGCTCACTGCAACCTCTGCCTCCTGGGTTCAAGCGATTCTCCTGCCTTAGCCTCCCAAGTAGCTGAGATTACAGGCATGTGCCACCATACTCGGCTAATTTTTTGTAGTTAGTAGAGACAGGGTTTCACCATGTTGGTCAGACCGGTCTCGAACCCCTGACCTCAGGTGATCCACCCACCTCAGCCTCCCAAATTGCTGGGATTATAGGCATGAGCCACCGTGCCTGGCCCATCGTACTGTTTTCTGTAGTGACTATACCATTTTACATTCCCACAAGCAATGAACAAGGGTCCCAATTTTTCCACATCCTCGCCAACACTTGTTATTTTCTTTTATGATAATAGTCATCCTGATGGGTGTGAGGCAGTATCTCACTGTGGCTTTGATTTGTATTTTCCTAATAACTAGTGATGTCGAGTTTCTTTTCGTGTACTTATTGGCCATTTGTATATTTTGTTTGGAGAAATGTGTATTCAAGTCCTTTGCCCATTTTTGAATTTGGGTGTTTGGTTTTTTTGTTGTTCAGAAACACTTACAAAAGCAGTGTCAAGAGCTGCCTGTGCTGACAAGGAGTGAGTGAGTGAGTGGCGGAAGAAGACACGAGAGGAGCCAAAGGAGTGCAGAGAGGGAGAAAGGGTCAAGATATGTTTTGTGGAGTGTGGGGTGAGGGATGGCTATCCCTCAATTCTTTTATTCAGTAAATATTTATTGAGCATCTACTACGTGCAGACACTTACTTCTGAGGGGTTGCTGCCTATACCTGCTTGACTCAGTTCACCATGCTGGCTCTCTAACTACACTGATCCTGTCCAGCTGCCAGGGCCAGCCTCTGGGAGGCAGTGCCTATAGTCACAGCCCATGGATTCTGCGGTCAGGCTAGGGACTGAGTCCTTAAAGTGGTGTGGTGCACCTTAGGACAGGTTACATGAGCTCTCTGAGCTCCACATTCCCCTATAAAATGTAATAAAAGAAATGAAACATGTCAAGTGCAGCAGGGGACAACACAGAGTGAGACATGTGCCTCAGCCAGCCAGAGCAGCTTTCATCCTCTGTGAGGGCCATCCTGCCCTCTGCCTCCTCCCTGCTCCACAAGCAGGCTTCTGCGCCCTGACCTGCTCCTCGGCAGCGGTCTGATTCAAGGAAAGCAGCCCCTCCAGCCAGGGCTCCAGCAGCCGTGTCTCCTGAGTGCTCTGCAGCTGCTTGACAGGTAGATACCTGCCCTGGACAGTACCAGCCAGTCGGGAGGCCAGACCCAGGAACTTGCAAAAGCAACGTGGGAGTGTGAAGAGTGGGGTTCCCCTGATGGAAGGGGCAAGGAGGTAGAGACCAGCTGGGGCTGGGAGGAGGCCTGGCAGGGGGGCTCCTCATCTCGGAAACAAGAAGCTTGTAATCTGGACTGACGTGGGAGCTTGGATTTCCTGATTGAGATTTCAGGGCCCTTTCTTCACCAAAAAGCTGCTCTATGCCTATGCCTGCCTCCACCCCAGGGCTTCCTCTATCCCTGCTACCTGTGCCCTCTGCTGTTCTCACATAGTCCGAAGCTCAGGAGGGCAAATCCTAGGGCCCGGGGACTTTTCTGTCTCAGGCTGGGAGCCCAGCTGAGTCTAGCCTCTTGAAGAGAATTCTAATTTTTGATTTCCTTTCCCTCCTGAATACAAATGTGATTCATGTAAGGGTAGTGTCCAGCTCAGTGGGTGTGAGCACAGGCTCTGGTCAGAGGGTCTGAGTTCAGGTGCTGCCTTTACCCCTCATTAGCTGTCTGTGCCATGTTGGGCAAGTTACTGATTCCCTTTGAGCTTCAGTTTCTTCCTGTGAAAAATAAGAACAAAAAATCCCTCCCTCATGAAGTTGCTCCAAGGAGCTTGCTAGGGCCTGGTGCTCAGGAAGAGCCTGCTGTTAGCTTCTGATAACATGATATGCAAACAAAAACAGGTGTCCAGGCATCCTCGCCCCATGGTGCATGGCGCCCCCAGAGGAGCATGCTGGGGTGAGCACCACTGCTTCGCGCCCACCGCCCCTCCCAACCCCAGCACTCATCTCTCAGGGTGCCGATAGGGCTCTGCCTCTCCCCGGAGGCCCAGTGGGTGGCAGGAATTGGTTCCTTTCCCAGGGCCTGGCCCACAGAAGATGGTGGGGAGACTGTACTTCAGGAAAATAGGCTGGGTGACTGAGAGCCCAGAATCTAGGATAGTTCCTGGGGTGGAGTTGGGGTGTAGCCAGGAGCACTGTCAATCATGACTCACATTGAGGACACCCTGCAGAGGCCAGGAGGGAAAGCTGAGCTGGGAAAACCCCAAATGACATCTAAAGTGACCTGTTGAGAAATTTTGACAGAGAAGTCCTATTAATGCAGAAAGGAGGAAATAGGACCTCAAGAAGAGAACCAGGGCATTCCACTTTAATAAAACAATCATAGCAGCCTCACAGGGCTGTGTGCAGGTAAAAGGGCTCACGAATGAGGAGTGGACACTTAGCTTGGGGCCCAGGGCCTTGTGTAGGTTCAGTCAGCATTGGTGCTTGCTACTGAACATAGGGATGGAGCCGCCTCCCCAGAAGGGCCTTGCCTGACCACCTTGTTTAAAGCAAGACCCCATTTACTCTCATAGCACCCTGTTGTTTTTCTTCAGCCTCGGTTGTAATTACACACGTCTGTTTACTTGTCCAGCAGAGCAGGGGCTGTGTCTGTTTCCCCTGCTCTATCCTAGCACTGAGAGCAGGGGCACGGTCAATGTTGAATAATGGGGGTCCCCTCCCCCAATCTTCAGGCAGAGTAGGCTAGGAATTCTGCCCCCCTTTTTTTCCCCAGAGGATTGGGCTTTCAGAGCCCCCTATAGTCCCTAGCCCCCTTCAGAGATGACCCTGCAGCCGGAGCAGCAGGGAAGGGCTGGATGCTGTAGACTGCCAGCCACAGAATAGCTGGGTGGGAACAGCTGGGAGGGGCCTGCGGCTGGGTCTTTCACTCACCTGCTTGGCCACAATCCTTGATGGATGATGGGGTCATTCTGGGACAATTTCTGCCCTTCCACCCATGTGCAGCTGTTTGGCCACAGCCACACTGCATCACCACCTGAGCCCTGTGTGGCTCCCCTAGCACCTGGTGCTAGACCTGACTTTCACCAGAGGCTTCCTTTTTGCTCCTCACTTTCCTCCAGCCTGCCTCCTTCTAGGTCTCCCCTGACTCCTGCCCTCAGCTGAGACCAGGGCCCTCTGGTCTTGGCAGATGTGTGAGGCTGAGGGAGGCCCTCTGAGTCCAGATGTGGTTGTGTTTATGTTTCCAGAGAATGAGGGGTCCGAGCTCCGGACTGGAGCCGCTTGGGGAGGGGTGGTCTGGCTCCAGCCCCCTGCCCTATTCCACCCCCACACCCACTAGCCTGTGTATCTGGCCCTGTTCATCTCAGAGCTCCACATTCCAGGTCTCACAGCATCAGACCATCCTCCAGGGAGGACCTCTCTTCATTCCTCATCTGAAGGTGAGAAAACCAGTGGAAAGATGCCTGGCTTTGGAATCTAAAATCCTTCTGACTCAGTGTGACCTTGGCTCAGCTACAGGGCTTTGGTTCCATCTGTAAAATAGGGACAACACTCCTGACCTCAGAGGCTGTGTTGACATGGCTTGAGAATGTGTGCACAGGGCTCTCCAGCTGTCAGCTCATGACTAAGCCTATGGCTGCGCCCCACTCCTAGCTAGGGCTTGCCTGGGTCCAGGGCAGTGCCAACCCCCATCATAAGGTGACTCTGAAGCATGATACCAACCCCTCCTTCCTCCCCCACTGCAGCTGCAAACATTTTGTTTTGCCATTAGAAATGACTTACTTAAGGGAAGCAGAATTTTACAGGCAGTTTACAGGCTGGTCTTGTTCAGTAGTTTCCAAAAGCCAGGGGAGGGCGGAGGCGGCCGGCAGTCCCCACAAGTTGGGATGGATTGGAAGTGAGAAGTGAGTTCTGTGTGACGGACACTTTCTCCACAGCCGCACGTCCCTGGGTGGGCTCTCGGCACATTACGGGCAGTAGGGAGAAATGCCTCGCTAGACTCATAGATCCAGCCTCCTCAGTCCTCCTAGAACAGCCTGGCCCTGGCTCCAAGGAGGGAAGAGGGGCTGTTGCGGCACCCACAGGAGAAAAGGCAACCCCTGGCCTAAAGAGGCTCTCAGCAGCCCCCGCCCTAACGCTCTGGGCAGGCAAGGGCCCCATAGCACCTTGGGGCCGCGGAGGGAGGGGGTTCTCGCTATGGCGTCCCACGCACAACGCTGAGAGGCGCAGCTTAGCGGGTGCGCACCGGGCAGGCTAGCAACGCCAGACGGTTGTCCTCAAGGGAGCCAGGCTGAGCAGGTCAAGAATGGTGGTGGGGAAGAGGAGTTAGGGAGACCTCGGCGGGGACTGCCTCAGCGCCCCTCTCCTATCCAAGGGCCCCGGGCTGTCACAGTTCCCTTTCTATCCGCCTCCCTTCTCAACCCAATGAAGCAGTCAGGGCTCAGCAGTGCTTAGCACGCTCGGACTATGGTTTTAATAGACGTACATGGACAAGTCGATATAGACAGATTTATAATTCTATACAGTCAGTCCGACATACACAGGGACGCTGTAAACAGGGGCGTGGGCCGGAGAGCGGGTGTGCAAAGTGGGCGCAGGGCCCCGGGGCCGGGCCCCTCGCTCTGCCGGCTCGACTCTTGCACGGCGGGCGGTGAGGAGAGGGCAGTTTTCCCAGACAGGGGGCCACCTCCTAGCCCGGGAGCAGAGCAGAGGGCCTAGGCCTGCGGCTAAGCTCTGGGCTGGGTTGTTCTACGACGAGCCTCCCCCTCCTCCCGCCAGGTCCGCATTGCCTGCTGCAGCTCCGTGGCCTTAATATAGGGCTCCGGGGCGCAGGGCCAGCGAGGCTCTACCAGGCGTGCCAGGGCCTTGTGCGGCTCCACGGAGTGCCCAGCCCTGGGCTGGGCACCGTTAACCCCTGCCCAACACCCGCTCCAACGCGGATCCGACTCGAGCTAAGGCGCTCTCGGCCGGGGACACCTCGGAGAGGGCATCTTGGTTTGTACTGGGTCGGGAAATCCCAGGCAAGTCCAGGGCCCGCACATCCAGTCCGCAGGCACGGCGGCTCAGTCCGGGTCCAGCGCGGCGGGGACGCGGGCTACGAGGGCGTCCTCCCCCGGCCGCTGGGCCTCGGCGCTCGCCTACAGTGCTGCGTCCCCTCCGCGGAGTGGGCCGCCGGGGCCCGTGGGAACACACACACACACACACACACACACCACCCGCGCCATCCCGAGGGAAATTGCAACTCATCCATTTTTTCGCGGCACTTTTCTCCGACGTCTTTTTCCTTTGTTTTTTTTTTGTCTTTTTGGAGGGCAGAATGGGGTCTGGAAAAGCAAACACAAAACCAACCCGGAGTGGGAAGTGGGAGGAGGGGGCTGCGCAGGCGCGAGGTCCGCGGAGCGGTGCAGCGTGGCGAGCCACGGCGTGGGAGCCAGGGCTCTGCGTGCGTCCTCCGCGCCCGCGCCCTTCCCCGTGCCGGCAGCCAGCCCGCGTGGCGCGGCGGGGCGGTCAGCTGTTGTACTGGCACGCGTTGAGGCCCGAGGCTGGGCCCTGCAGGCCGCCGTAGCCGAATGATGAGTGCTGCTTGGACTTGAGCCGCAGGCTGGCTAGGCTCGAGTTGCACGTGTCCCGGTAGACGCTGTAGGGCGAGGCGGGGGTGCCGTACGGGCAGGCGCCCGGCGACATGGCCGAGTTGAGCGAGGAGCCGGTGAGGTTGTTGATGTTGTTGAGGCCCGAGTTGGGCATGCCAGGCACGGCGCCTGGGCCCATGCTGGACGGCATGGTCATGGAGGAGATGGAGCTGGGTGCCGAGAACATGGACTGCGACGACAGCGGGCTCATGGAGTTGAAGAAGGTGAAGCTCTTGGTGGAGAGCGGTGCTGGCGCCAGGCTCTTGGCGGCCCAGTTGTTGTAGGAGTAGCCGGCGGCGTACACGTCCTCATAGGGCTGCACCAGGCCGCTGAACTGCGGCACGTAGCCGCCCTTGCACAGATCCAGCTGCTGGTTACGCTCGCGCTTCCGCCACTTGGCCCGCCGGTTCTTGAACCAGACCTGGGGGAGGGGGCGGGAGAAGGGGTCAGGGCCGCCGAGGGCCGGGAGGGCCCCCCTCCCCGCTGCCCCGGAGCCCTCGCCCCGCCTGCCTGCTGCCCTCCTAAAGTCGTTCCTGTCCTTCGACCGATTACCGATTATTTCCGCTCCTCCATTCCTTCCACAATGGTTCCTTTCCTGTCCCCAGAAAATACTAGTTTTTTTCCTTTTCCCGATCTTTATCTTCTTCCCCAAATTATATCCGTTTTCTTCTCCGAATACAGATTCTCTTTTATTTTAACAGATATTCGTTTTCTTTATTCCTCTCTCAACCAATTCACCTCTGCCTTCTCCCCCAAACGGATCTGCGTTATCTACTAAGCATTTCCGTCTTTTTATTCTCCCTCAAATACAAAAGGTATTTTTCTTCCCTGAGACATAGGACTCTCCGACTCCCCCAATTTTTCAATCTATATCATCGCTCAAATACTTTGTTATCTTTCTTGGCAGTATTTGATATTTTCTTTTAGGCTCCAAATGTTTATTTTCGTTCAGTCCACCCCGCTATCTGAGCCTCTTTCTTCTCCCTCAGTCTGTTTTCTTGTTTATCCCCCATTTTTGATCCTTTTGAATCGTCCCCAAATATGATTTTTAAAATTCTTTCCAAATATCTCCCCTCCACGGTTCCCTTTAAACAGTTGATTATTTTTCTCAAATCTTGATCTTTTTGGCTTCCTATTTAATTTTTCCTGCCGCCTCAACATATGCCAAATATGTTTCTCCAAATATTTAATTTTTCCAATTAAATATTAAACATTCTCCAAACATTGAATTTTTTTTCGATTCTTACTAGTTTCTTCTACCCTTCCTGCCCTTCCTTTTCTCCCCCTAAATTTGGTGAGAAACTCCTGGTCCTCCGCATGCCCCCTGCCCTCTCGGATTTTCCTCCAGTTCTGAGCGGAGTTTCTGGAGCTAGTTTGCCAGACCCCTGCATCTCAGCTTTCCCTAGTCCTCAGTACTGACACTACCTGATTCCACCCCCACCCCACCCCTACCACCATAAACCTGGGCAGGATTAGTGAGTTCAGGATTACTGAGTGCTGTGTCTTCACTCCAAGTCCCACTGGGCTGGCCAGCCTGCCTAGGGAGGGGTGCGGGCTGGGGTTATGGTAAGGAGTCTGTGGGCCAGGTGGGACTTTGGTAGGCTTGGGAGGTACTCCCAATATGTGATTAAATATTTGCACCCCCAGGGAAGAAATGATTCTCTTGCTACCCTGGCAGGAAAGCCTTGCTTTTTACTGGAAACCAAATGAGTGAGAAGAGGGAGAATGCAGGTTGGCCTTGGGTCTGAGATGGTATATCCCAAAAGGGATTGGGAAGGCCACTTCACCATGGAGCCCTCCTCCCCATCAACTGAGGGGAGACCTTCTGGAAAGGGCAGAAGGCAAAGGGTCCTACTGATGGCTGGGGATGGTGGAGAATCTCTTGAGCTTTTAGAGAATCTGCTTATGGGATGGGACCACTGATCCAGGAAGTTTCGAGAGCCCCAAACCCAGGCACCTTTCAGGCTTCTCCGAGGCAGCCAGGCAGGACCTGCCTTTCCCTTTCGTTTTGGGGGGAAGGCCAGCAGCTCCTGAGGTCCCCAGAGGCAGGGAATCCACTGCCCAGTCTCTAGCCCAAGGTATGCTGCTAAGATCCGAGTGGGTCGTGGGCCCCACGCAGCATGGGAGATTCACCTGGAGATATGGGTCCTTTGGTTGGGATTGCCTTAGTCTGAGCATCAGGTAGGATGAGGGTCAGAGGGGTTGGACGTTGGGGGTGGCCTGGAGGCCTGGCAGACGCTCGGTGGGCCAGGGCCTAAGGTGGGGATTGCCAGTGGAGGGAGGGAGCAGGTCTGAATGGTAGGAGAGTGGAGGTCTGCGTGCGGGTCTAAGCTTTGGGAGGCTGCCTCGGAGGCAGCTAGCAGCCCTCTGCTCGGGTGACCTTAGGCGCGTGCCCCTTGCTCACCCGCACACGCGGCTCGGTGAGGTTGGTCCACACGGCGATCTCCTCCCTCATGCTCATGTCTGGATAGCGGTTCCTCTGGAACGTGGCCTCTAGCTCCTGCAACTGCTGGCTTGTGAAGTGCGTACGTTGCCGCCGCTGCTTCTTCTTCTTGGCTGGGTCCTCAGCGCCTCCACAGCCCGTGCCTCCCGTGCCACTGTCCTCGGGCCCCTTGGGTTCCCCGCCGCGCTCCTTCTCTGCAGCAGGCAGGATGGGGCGCAGGTCACCTGGGCTTACGCCCGGCTGCACCCCGTCCCGGCTCCACCGAAGCGCCCGCCACCGGTGCTGGCGGTCTTCCCTCCCCTCTCCCTCCGGGGGCCCTGGAACTGTCCCCACTGGAAAGCGCCCGCCGGGGGCTGGTCGTCAGTAGGGACCTCTCGTCTGGTGTGCTGTGGTGAAGAGCCCAACTATCGAAGCCCGAGCCGCGGGCCTGGGTTTCTGGCTGGGCAGGGCCCGCACCCTTAGCTCGGCTCAGACTGGCCCTGCTGCTGCTGTTTCAGAGAATGTACGCTTTTGTTTGCTTTGGGAGCTCTTAGGGGGTCTAAATCTGAGGGGGTCTCTACTTCTGTGAACTAGGATCAGATCCTTCCAGCCTAAAGTCCCTCCACTTTCTTCTTCTCAGGGATGTGTGGGAGCGCCACAGGGCAGGCACAGCACAGCCTGGTTCTCGGCCTTGCTTCCAGGCCTCCAGTCCCAAAGCCTAGAAAACCCCACCAACTGCAGCCCAGACAGACAGACTTTGTCTAGGTGACCTCGGGCTTTAGTCTGTCTCTCTTTGAAGCTACACAAAACACACGCAGTCATAGAAACATTGACACATAGAGAAAAAGAGTTGAAAAACAAAACATAGAAGCCCAGAAAAGCTCACGGCTCTATGACTAAAGACATGGAAAGAGCCACAAATTCTCAAAATCAGACAGGAAGAAACAGAGCAAATGTAAATTAAGAAGCTAGAAAGCTTCATACAAACACACCCCTAACTAAATACAGAGCCGTAAGTGTATAAACTCCAGGCTGACAGAAGCATTTATTTCTCCAGGATTAAAAAAAAAAAATGTACCGTTGTAGATAGATTTTTAACCCCTTCCCGATAAGGCCTTGTAGAGATAATTTTAAATCCCAGAGGAACATATTATAGTTAATGTAAATTCCCCAAATAACACCACTGTAAATGGATTTTGTGAAAATTCTCGAGAAACGCGCCATTTTGGATCGACTTTTTAAAATCTCCGGAAGAATAATGCTGCATGTAGTTATTTTAAATTCCAGAGACCTACACTTAGTATATTAATTCTTTCAAAATCGAAAGATACAGTTAAAATTGTTAATTCATCCTCATAGATTTGGTTCAAAATAATCGATCTACGATTATATATCTTTCTAGGTTTTAAAAATAAAACCAAAGAACACACTTAAAACTTTTGAAAACAAAAGTATAGTTCAGCGTTGACTGTGTTTTAACCAAGCAAACAGAACCTCTCAGAAAAATCACTTAGGAATGCAAAAGAGAAATAGATTAAGAAAGCGGAAAGAAACAGCCGTGTATTAAGAAATGAACGCGGAAGAGTCGCCCAGGCCAGGGAGCTCAGAGCCCCTCGGGGACCCGGGCGGCTGCGCTGGGCAGCGGATTCGCCGCTCCACTGCCGGAGCCGGTCACCCGCGGGCCCAGCTTGCTGCTGGAAAAAAGCTCCAACTCGGACAAAAAGCGCGGAGGGAGACGCGCTGGAGACTGCGCCGGGCAGGGGCCGGGCAGCTCCCGGCTCTGGCCGCGCACGTGGGCCGGGATCCCTCGATCGGGATTCGGTCTGGCCTTGCTGGGTGTCCAGCCGCGCCCCTTGGCCCGCTGGTCCCCTGGCCCGCTCGCCCTTACCGTCCTCTGTGTCTCCCTTTTACTTGATGACCCTCTCCCCCCTCCCCCCAGTTTACCCTACCCACCCGCCCCTTCTCTTCGGTCTCTTCCTCTCAGTCTGTCGCCTACTGTCACGGTGTTAGCCTCCCTCTCAGTCTAAGCGCGTTCTCTCGCTCATCACCCCCATTCTTTTCTGGGTCTGCTTCTCTCCCTTCGTCCAAGCCGCTCCTTAGCGCCCAGTTGCGCAAATCCAACTTTTTCCCCGTTCTATTCACTCCTGATCAAGAGGGGCTGTCAGTCCAACCCTCCAGCCGTAGGCTCGTGCATCTCTGCCAGTTTCTTGGTGCGTGGGGACCGCGTGGAAGTGCCTTCGCGTGTGCGTAAGTTTCCGCGTTCACCGTCAGGTCGAGAACGGGAAAAAGAAAGCTCCTGACGCTTCTGGGGCGGAGAGGGAGCTTGGTTGCACGGCGCGGGCGTCAGGCCCTGCTCCCAGCTTCCCGTGCCCCGCGCCCGGGAAGGCTCCGTGCGCGCCGCGCGGGGAACGGCGCTTACCTGGCAGCTCCGTGTCAGACGACTCGCTGGCAGAGTTCTCGAGCGGCTCGCGGGGATCGGCGGGCCGGGCCAGGTGGAAGGCGGGCCCCATGTCATGGGGTGGTGGTGGCGGCGGCCGGAGCCCCTCCGGCAGCCGCTCCAGGCTCATGCCCCCCTTGAAGGCGTCCATGGAGGTGGGGACCGCGGCGGGCGCTCCAGGGGCCGGGGCTGGGCGAGCCCCGCCGCCCTGGCTGCGACCTGCGGGGACAAGAGCGCAGCGCCTAAGCGGCTGCCCTCCAGGGCTGCCGGCGCCCGCAGCGACGCCTTACCCGCCCCATGGACCGCCCGGGGGTGCGGTGCCGGGCGGGCAGAGGCAGCGGCAGCTTCTAGCGACCGGGCGCCTGGCTCCGCGCTCCGGGCTGCGCTCCCGCCGCTCGGGCCTCAGTCGCCCCGCCGGCCCCGGCTCCCGCTCCGGCTCCGGCTCGCGATCCGGGGCCGGTTTCTAAGGCTCGGGACGGCGCCGGCAGAGTCTGTCTTAAAGCGACAGCGCGCACAGCCAGGTTCCAGCAGTCCCTGCGCCAGGGGTGCTGGGTGGGGTGGGCCCGGGTGGGAGGGGGCTGGGGAGGGAGGGAGCGAGCGAGCGAGGGAGTGCGGGCGGAATCCAGCCCCGAGTCGCCCGCGCCGCCGCGCCCTTGCTGCCGCCCTCCCTCCCTCCGTGCCTCGCCCGCGCCCTCCCCCTCCGCAGCCACCTTCCCGCCGCCTCCCCGCCCCCCGCGGCCTCGCTGCGCCTCTCCCTCCTTCCCCAGTGACACACCGAGTTCTCCCTCGGCCTCACAAAAGAAACGCATCTGGCCTGCAAGTCCTGGGCGGCTCGTGCCCACCTCAGGCCCCAAATGACTTGTTTCGCCTAGAAATCAACTCCCGTCTCGGCCGCCTCGAAGTCCCCGGCCCTGGCGAGAACAGCCCAGGATGAGTGAATGTTTGCCGAGCAGGATCGCACCGAACGGGCGCCTTCGAGCCAGCGCCGGGGCGGGGGCAGAGCCCAGGGCCGGTTCCGGCAGCTCCCAGCGGTGTCCTCGTCGAGGGGCCGCCTGCCCCTCCTCCTCCAGCCTCTTCTCCCGGGAACTCAGCCCGGCTGAGTGACAGCAGCCTGCACTCTAATGGGCCCCCGGATGCTGCCTCCTAATTAGCTTGGACCTTCTCCCCTAAGGCTGCTTCTCAGGCCTCCCTCTCTGCACCGCAGTCAATTTTCCGGGATTGGGATAGAAATGATGGCTTCTAATCAGACGAAACGTTTTTGCTGGCACTCGGCCTTTGGAGAGTACAGAGGGAAGACCCCAGAAGCCCAGCCAGGCCCCACAGCCTCTTCTACCTCTCCCCTTGTTTTGCACCTTATCCGTTAGCAAAATGGGCCTGGCCTGGCCTTGGCAGCCTTTGCCCTTCTTCAGGGTAGCTTTGTCCCAGCCTGGGGGACTGCATCCTGGCTTCCTAGGGCTTCAGGTACAGGCCTGGTAGGCTAGGTGACTGCTGTCTCCCAACCCTGGGCCAGCAGCCCAGGAAGCCCTCAGTCTTCCAGCTTCTTTCCCACATAGTGGTGGCTGAGCTGCAGCTCCAGTGGGCCTTCATTGGGCACAGGCAAAGACATTACTCTCCCACTCCCAAGAGGGATCCTCTCCTCAAGTCCTTGCATGTAGGTGAAGTCTGTTGAAGGATTTTGCTCAACAATTGTTAGCTGGTCCTGAGACCACAGTGTATTGAGCCAACAGGCTACAGCTGGGGCAGCAAGGCACCGCCCTGACCTGCTCCTCTGACCATAGGCGGACCCCAGACTGCCCTCTGCCCCTCACCTGTGACCAGCTCCACCAGACACAGCAACCCAAGGGAGCAGCACCAGGGAGATTGTCAGCCTGGGAAAGAAGCACTGCCTTGCTCTCCAGGGAGGTGTCCAGTGTCCTCACCCCAAAACCCAGTGCCTCCTCACCTCCTGGGTGGGTGGCACTGACGGTGCAGGTATCAGCCTCTGGGGCACTCTGCAGGCTCTGCCTTTGAGTCCTCGCTTTACCCCTTCCCATCACAGGGAGACACCCAGGGTCAGGTTGAGCTCTTGTGAGGGATGCTGGGGTCAGGGGCAGGCACACAGTGTGGAACGAGGCCTGCCTTCCATTCCCTCCATGTTAGCCCCAGCCCCCCTTGCCCCCCAACTGTGGGGCAGGGAGAGACAGCAGCTCCTTAGGGCCTGACCCTTTCTCACTGTGCATCTGTGACCACAGGAGGCAGGGTCTGAGGCCGGAGGGAGGACACTTCCCAGGAGTTTGGTTGGGGAGGCTCCTGCCTTCTTCCAAGCTGAGATCTCCCTCCATGAAACGAGTCCTGGCCACGGGGAGGGGGACATGGAGAAGCACAGTTGCACAGCATTTGCCCTCAGCTCCACCTTTACCACATTTCTTGGCTAAGTCTCCTGCAGCAGAAGATCCCTCCTTTCAAGGAGATATTCAGGTGCCGCAGCATGCTCGGGAGTGTCCCTTCACACACCATTCTCCCTTTAGCTGTCTTACCGCATAGAACAGCCTGCATGCATACAGCATGGGGGCACGCACGCGTGCGCGCACATACACACACGTCCTGTACATCCATGCCAGCATGCTCTGCACACACATGCACTCACTGCATTATGGAAGTGCTGAGTTGAGGCATATATGTGCTACTTGGCATGAACACTGGCTGGTAGGGGATAGGAGGTGTGTTCTAACCCACCACATGTCAGGCCAAGGTGGGAAGCACAGTGCATCTCTGAGCAGAGACTTAGAAATGAATGGTCTGTCTGTGGGCATCCAGAGGAGGCTGGGACTCACAGCCCCTTCATTTCCCGGAGGGACCAAAGTGACTCTTTGGGCTGTCCCTGGATGGGGACTGTTTTGTGACTCAGCAGCACTCACTGATTAGTCTGGGGCCTGTATCCTTACTGCTGGTGCATTTAATGCAGTTATTGAGCACCTGCTGTGTGCCCCTCTGGGCCCAAACCTCTGGCCAAGCTCCAGGCAAGCACAATAGTCCCTTTATTTGGCAATCTCGTTACCTGCTGTGTGGATGGAAAAGCCCTCAGACTGTTTCAGGTGAAGCCCCTATCCTCAGGGGACCTGAGACCCAAAGAGGGGATGGGGCTAGTGAGGCCTGCTAGGGGAGTGTGTCCCGCTTGGCCTGGGCAGCACTGAGTGATCAAGGAGTGAGGAGGCTGTGGCCTGATCCTGGGCATTGGCTGGGGAAGGGACCTGGACATGCTCTCTGTTCTTCCCCGGCTACACTCTCTCACTGGCCATTGTCCCAGTCAAGACAGGGGCTTCTTGCACACTCACAGACACATCACATACACAGGACAGAAGACAGCACTCTTTCAGGAGTAAGAAGAGGCTTGGTGTTCCTCCAACTGTGCTGTGTGACCTGTGTTTGCCTCAATATCAAGGCTTGATCTGCCCTGTGCCTCAGTTCCCATGTCCAATATGGGACTCTGTCTGCTGCTTCAGCATCTAGCTCGCTTGCTGATGGGACTCGAAGAGAGGAGGGAAAGGGGTTTAGTGGAGCTGGAACCATGTGTCCTATTCCCCACACCATCCCTCGCCACACAAAGTCAGCAATGATTCTGTGATTCTTTGGAGTTTAGGGTCCTGGCTGGGCTGAACAGAAGAGCCTGGGCTGTTGTGGAGTTGAAGCAGTCACCAAGAGGACCCTTCCTGAAGCCGGGCTCACTAAAAACAGCCTGTGTCCAAGAATGGTTTAGTAATGTAATTGGGGAAGGGTGGTTAGGATGCTCTCATGGAGAGGTATCCTTCTACCTACCCTTGGGGGCACCCTGCTCTAATCCTTGCTCTGAGAATCAAGGTATTTTAGAAAAAGGAAGGAATGTGCCATGGCCTGCTACCAGGGCTATCCTTGACTCTCTGGGACATTCCAGCCCTAAGCCTCTTAGTCCGTGGAGAGGTTCAAACTTGAAAACCCAGTTTTGGTAGTGCAGCCTAGACCACCTACCTCTTCTGCCTAATCTAACACCCCCTCCCCAATAAAAGCTCTTGTTCCTTTGACTACAGCAATTACTGGATAAGCAGGGAGGAGGGTGCTCAGGTAGGGGCTGGAAAGACCTCACTGGCTCCTTTAGGCTTCCTGGGACCCCAGTCTGAGGCTTCCAGCCAATTGAGGATCCCCAGCCTGTTCCTGGGAGAGCCAGGATGTATTTGGGCAGGACTGCCACCAGTGAGGCACAGATGGGATTACAGAACTCAGGACTCCGTGCTGTGGGCCAGCGGCTGGTAGGACGAAGGCTCTCCCGGCCCACCTCTCACCTAATTCCAACAGAAGTTTTCTAGATCCTGAGAATGGCTGAGCTGTGGGGAAGAAGACTAGGAAGGAGGTGCAGCTGGTCACACAACTGGGGAGCAGAGGGGCGGGTTATGATGCACCACAGCCTCCTCTTCCCAGCGGCTAGGTGGGAGAAGAGCACCCTGAGTCTGTCTGGAGGCCCCTGCATCCTATAGTCCAGACAGCCTGGTCTCCGCGCCCCAGCCCACCTCTTTTCCTTTCCTTGGCAGAGATGCGGGAAGCCCAAAGCAGCCCCATGAAAGGGCACGGGGACAGCAAGTCTTCTGTGCTGCCCCGGTTGCCTGTAGCTTTTGGCCTGACTACCCTAGACCTGAACCCTAGACTTGAATCCTCCCTCAGTGGACAGCAACCTGGGATTTCCTCCCTCTGGACCTGGTGGCTTTCAGAGGTCACAGCGATGTCCAGAGAATACACAAGTCTTAGTTTTTCAGAAAAGTGGACTAACTCGTTGTAGATTCAGGGAATTCCTAAATCGGAAAATCTTGGGACCCGGATTTCAGCCTGGGGTTCCCATGACTGCCATCCTGGCTTTGGAGCCCTGCCTTTGCCGCGGGAGAATGGGCTCCAATTTACGAAGCTGGTCAATTTCAGAAGTCCGAGACCCGGTTCTTGAGAAGCGGCTGCGTGCTCCGGGAACTGCGTCAACAACCAAACCCGGGAGAAGCCGCGGGAATGTCTTTATTGGACGTTAAGAAGGGAATTTGGGGTTTTTCTCATGGGAAGAAAAAGCCGGACCTGTGCCGGCGAGGGCAGGCCGCGGTGGGCTGGGGGCACCTCCGAGCGCTGAGGCGGGACGTCGGAGTCCGGGGCGAAGAGAGCCAGGGCGCTGGCCGATGTCTGCTGCTTTTCGTTATCATTGCTGCCCGAACGAACGAACGAACGAACGAATGAAGCGGTTTCGTTTAGGAAAAATACCCTCTTGATGCGAAGCTACGGCCGAAGTCCCGGGCCACGCAGAGGGGCCAGCAGTTCCATGGGTGGTGGGGCCCTCCATCCCTGGACGCAGTGAGGAGCAGCGGGAGGCCCTCTCTCCTGCCCATTTCTCCTGGGGGTCGGGAGGCCCTGCCTCCCGCGCCGCCGCTATGGGCTGCCACGGGGTTGTGCCCTTTGCGGAGCCGTGGCCCGTGCCCCCGAGGCTGCTACCCGCTTGGGGTGCCCGGGGCCGAAGCGGAGGGTTGATCCCACCGGTTAGGTGACGGCGGCTATGATTGTGCCCTGGGCGCACGAACGGGCTCCTGCCTCGAAGGCTCCTGACCTTCCGCGCCTTGCGCTGTCGCGTGTCGCCGGCTGGACCCACACACGCCAGGAGCAAACTGCGCAGGACTCGGCCGGCCGCCACCTCCCTGCTCCCCTCCACCGCGGAGACCCTGTGCCCCTAGCCCAGCGTCTCTTACCCCACCTGGGCAGCGCTGCGTCTGCCGCTCGTCTGCTCCGGGCTCGCCCGCCGCGGACTCTGGCTCAGGTTTCGGCTCCGGCTGGGGCCCGGGATCCAGCTCTGGCTCTGGCTCTGGCTCCGGCTTTGCCAGTTCCTTCGGCCCCTGCTTGTTCGCTACATCCCAGAGCGCGAGGCCGGGGCTGCCTTAGCTCGGCCCGCTCCTCCCGCCGCCGCCGCCCGTCGCCCGCGGGGAAGGCGGGGACACCCGCCGGGAGGCGGGAAGGGGGGAGGGGAAGCTAGGCGCTAGCCTGGACCTGCGGGGAGGGGCGGCGCGCAGTCCCGCCGCCTAGGGGTCCCGGCCTCCCTCGGGGCGCGGGCTGGGGTCCGCGCGGCTGGCAGCTGAGTCTGGAGGCCGAGGAACGCGCCCTCGGACCTCCGTGGAGGGGCCTGGCAGCCTGCGAAGCCGCAGCGGGTCCCAGCCTGGCCCGGGCGCCCTTTCTTTCCCAGGGCTCAGTTTCCCACCTAACTCTTGAAGGGCTGGCCCTACTTCCGTTTAGACGGGGGCTGGTGGTCTAGTTGCGGGGGACGGTTTGAGATTGGACCTTTCTCCTTCCTGCTCAGCCTGCGGGAGGGAGCTGGTTTTGCGTGTTGGCAGGGAGAGTCCCTGCGCAGAGCGTGGCAGCCCAGGAGGTTGGCGGACAGACCCCAGGGTTTCTGTGTTTGGGTGTGGGGGTGCCATCCGACCTGCCCTGCTTGGCGGATTGCCTCCTTCCCTCTCTTCAGGGCCTGGGCTGGTGAGGAAAGGGGAGACTGACCTCTCAGGACAGACACTTGTGCGGCCCCTTGTCCAACCCCTGTGCTTGCACATCCCCCAGCGGCCACCCTGCTCCGGGCTTGCGAACGGTGACGCCTGCACCCCTGTGGCCCTGCAGGCCTGTTCCTGGCTGCCACTGGGAGACGGGCTAGATGGAAGGGAACTGGGAGCCTGCCCTTCGCCCACCCTCGGGCCACAGGGCTCCCCAGCGTTGCCCCGCGGCCAGATAACCCTGTGCCCAAAGTCTCGTGGGGGAAACCAATTGACCGAACTTACTCTTGGTACTCTGAAGTGCCCAGTCTGAGCCTACTTGCTGCTGGGACTCTGGGATGGGACCACAGGGCAGGTCTGGCTGTGGCCTGTCACTCTCAGGAACTGGAGCGGCCGAGCCTGCCTTCCGACGGCCATGGGATCCAGAGCAACAGTTTCGGGAGCAAGGTGCCGGGAGATGGCAGCGCGGCAGCCGGGCCTGAATGTTTCATGAGGTGCCGTCAGCAGCGGCGCCTCCCTGCCTGGTTCTCGCCAACAGCTGCTGCGGGAGAGGCCACGACCCGCGCCGCCTTGGCGTCCTGCTAGTCCGTGCCTCCAGGGCTGCTTGGCCTGGAAACGTAGAGACCCAGGACCCCTTCCCCAGCCTCCGAAAGGGGAAGCCTGCCCGACCCAAGCTCACGGAGGCCTCGGCGTTCAGGCCCTGCCAGGTGGCCCCTGCCCTCTGTCGTGCTGTTCCAGGGACTCCATACCCTCCTTTCAACCGTCAACAGCAGGAACCCCTCTCCAGTGTGTGTGTGAGCTCTGTGCACCCAGGGTTGCAAGTTAAGATAACGAGTCCCCGGTGACCGCACTAGCAGACCTGGGCCTGGGGAAAGTGCATCTACTGTCTTTGGACCCCGCGCTGTGGGAATTTTAGCCCCAACTTCTACCTGCTCCTGTTGTCTGCTTTTTGTGTGAAAAAGACTTGTTGGGTCCAGCCCTAGTGCTGCTAAGCCAAGGCTGGCGCATCCAACCTTGTCATGGGAAACTTCCTTATACTCCAAGCAGCAGTGGCCTCTTTTGGCATAAATGGAACCACTGGACCTTTACTATGGAGGGCTGCACAGGCACTCCTGGGGTGGCTTTTACTCTGAAGTCTGTAGCAGGAAATCACACCTTCCTCTCTCCCTGCATGCTAGCAATTTTCCGAGTTTTGTTCCCATCTCGAATGAGATTTTCTGCATGCTCTCATTCCCAGGCAGGGCCTCTGATGCCAAAACATGCTGCCCCCTGGCATCTGATGGCCTGTGCTGGAATCTTGTCAGTGGCTTTTACTAGTTGTGTGTGGCTTTGGCAAATAACATAATCTTTCCCAGCCTCAGCTTCCCCATCTGTGAAATGTGAGAGTAAGAGTTCCTGCTGCTTTCTTTGGGAAATGGATGAGATGATGATGGTAAGGGGCTTGGCCCTGAGTCCTGTGTATAGAGTGGCTGAAAGCGAATGGCAAAGCCACCAGGTTGCTCTTTAAGAGAGTTTGCTCTTATTTTGTTTAGATACTTTCCCCATGGTGGTCATGTTAGTTGAGTCTAGCAGAAACAGATTCCTTTGCTGGTTTAGTTTATCTGCCCTTATTCCCTGCTTAGCTGCTAGGAAGTTTTGGTCCAGGAAAGCAGGGCAGGCTGGTGGGTGGGGCACAACCCCACCCTGGGACTGGAAGTCAGGAAGTTCTTAGTGGAACTTGAGGGGGGCGGGATAAAACACACTTTTTATAATCTTACTTTCCCTTCTATAAAAATATATATATTTTGCAATTTCCCTTTAGTTTTGACATCTTTGGGAGCAGACATCTTGGCACAGTGGAATCAAGGAATCAGAGAGAGAGAGGAAGTTTGGAGCAGGATTCACCAGGAACAGAAGTAGCAGTCTCTGTTCCTGAATATCACTTTAGCTCTCAGCCTCCAGGTGCCCCATCAAAAAAGCTCAGCGGAATTGGCTGATGAATTTTCTTTGTCTTTCAGTCCAAACTGATGTGCTTTCTCTAACAGAAATTTTTCTCCCTAGTGCAAAATCCTCTGATGAATTTGTCACATGGGTTCACATAATGGGCAAATGTTTGCAGCCACTGTTATACAGAGGCCATAACACTTCTTCAGGCAGTGTTATTTTTTTTTTAAATCTTAATACCAAGTAAAATTAGGGAGAGTATTCTTTTCCTTCACAGTTCTAATTGCAACTATTGAAATGAAATTTTGTATAATGATAGACGAAAGCCTGTTGCCCTTACCAGTTGTAAGCTTCTTGAGAACAGGGCTGAGCCTTTTTTGGCAACAACTATAGGACCCTCCCCAGGGTGAGCAAGGGATTTGGTTATGCTGATTGGCTGGGTGCAGCTTACATGCCCACTCCTGCACCAATCAATTTGTGGGGAAGAGTGGCTCAGGCCTTCTTTGGTTGGCCAGGGCCAGAGGCTCCACCCCAGAATCACCATACTCCTCCAAGGATCCTGGCATCTATCTGGAACAAGTTCTCTGAGCTGGTGGAGGGAAAGGGTTGTTTCCTAAGAAGCCCCCTGCCCTTTGAAGTTTGTCAGGGGGCTGCTGATGATATGGTAGCAAGTCCACTCCAACGTGACAGGGAGGGATTGACTCTGTCGGGAGAGTCCGAAGTCCATCAGAATTGTTCCTGCACTCATCTGTGGGGAGAGGCGAAGCACTGCCAGCAAGTCGGAGGGGAGGCTTGGAGTCTTGACTACTTGTAGGAATGGATCCACAGAGCAAGGGAGGGAATGTATTCATACTTCCTTTTTTCATCTGTGAGAGGGAGAAAGTTTGAGGCTTTAAAAGTAGAGAGGAACCCAAGGATCAGGTAAGATATTAATGTATTTGAGCATTATTCTATTGCACTCTGTGATTATTGGTAGTCAAAGCAAAACAAGAAGCTATTTGAGCATCTCAAGTGTTTTTTTCCTTGCAGTCCTGTCAGCCTCTGCATGGAATACTGGACAGAACTCTAGCCTGAGACCCTCTTAGAATGGCTTCTCAGGTCAGAAAACAGGTACACAGCACCTGTTTTGTGCCTGTGATTGCAGAGATACAGAGATAGATGGCTCCTGTTCATTTGGGTTGAGTCAAGGAGGCAGACACAAAGCCATAACATAATTGGAGCACAGTGCTGGAGGAAAGCTGCAGCCTGCTGTCTGAGGGACTTGAGTGACACACTGAGGAGTTGGCTGTAGCAGTTTTCCCACTACCTGGGGACCCCTCCGTAGGAAAATATAATGTGCAAAGGCTCTGAGTTAAGATAAGCTGTGATATACTTGATAATAAAGGAAGACATCATCATAGCACTGGGACAGGTGAGAAGGCAGGGCATGGGGGAAGAGGAAGTTGGAGAATCAAGTAGGAACCAGATCCCACAGGACTCCATAATCCTATATGAGGGTGGGATATTATCCTGAAGGCAAACAGGAGCAGATGAAGGGTTTGAACAGTGAGAGACCTTGTCAGGGGTATCTTAGAAAGCCCATTCTGCCTAGAGACAGGAGGATGGATTTGAAGTGAGATGGAAGCAGATTATTGCAACATCATTTGCTTAGCTTCTCAGCTGCTCCATTTAGCCCTTCGTTTCTCCATCAGTCCATCTGCCTTTGTCCACTCATCCACCATGAACGCAAGAGGCCACAGCTTCGCATGGGAAATATGAAGGTGAGAAGTTGTGGCCCCTGCCTTTCTGGAGCTGCCCCTCGAAGTCCTCAGTTTACCCATCTGTAGGCCTAGCAAATCTCTCTCATGATCACAAGCTCTGCAGCCATTGCCTCGGCCTCCCTCCAGATGTCTGCCTGCTGCTCAGGACACAGGGTGCTCAGCCACTGTCACAGATGGACAATTCGGGGAGCCAGTGCAGTGAACAACCCTGACAGAAGCTTTTAGAGTAATTGCCCCTGCCTACGCTGGCTGACTGGCTGACGGCAGCCTATTAGCCCTGAGTTGGAAATTCTGAATTGTTTCATGACAATTGAACACATGATTGGAGGCTGGGAGGGAGTTGCCCATGAAATATTTATGTTTCCTCAGTGTTGTGGGCTGCTCCCCTTTAGCCTGGGAACCCTGGATGTATGGGGCTGGTGGCTTCGAAGTGACCGCCATTGTTCCTGGGGATCCTTGGGCCACCTCCAGGTGGGTAGGTGGGAGTGAATTTTGTGCAGTTGTGAGGATGGTTGAGGGCCAGCACTGCTATAGCCTCACTCCAAGCTGTGTACCACGGCACTGCAGTCTCACTCCAGTGCTAGAAGGGGGACAGAACCTGGGGACTTGAGGTGCTCTATGTTTATGCATGGCTGAAATTCTCCCTGGTATTCAAGGCTCCTGGGAGTCAGACTGGGTGCGAGTATCAGTTCTGCCCCCTTAGCATTGTGAGCCTTGTTTTCTTAGCCATTCAATGAGGGATGCAGAGTTCCTGCCTTGCAGGGCTGTGAGGGACAGAGATGCCCATATGTGGAGGGCCTGGCCCTCAGCCACAGCTCATGAGACCATCCCGAGCAGCCCTTGGTAGATCCTAGGGTCAGGCCATGGCTAGCTATGGGAGCCCCTGCTGGATCCCCAGGGCACTGTGGTCTCCTTTCCTCTGCAGATGCTTTGAAGTACTCTGTGTTTTTCCCTTCTCTGCAAATCTGAAATAAATATTCATGCTAGGAGGGTGTGTGGCGGCCTGGCAGGCATTTCTGGTGGGTAAAGTGCCCCAGAGTCTTGGTAAGTGACTCCACATGCCCAGCCCAGGCCTCTGCTCACTAGATGGAGGCTCTGCCATGGCAGAGGAAACTGGTGGATGGTTCCTGCCTGGCTGCCTGAACTTGGAGGCTGCTCAGGGCAGCAGGAGAAGGACCCCTGCTGTTGGAGCCCTTGGCTTACCAGCCCACCGGCCAGCCCAGTGAGAGGCCCACTTTTCTCACCCTGGAAGGTGGTATTTATTCATCTTGCAGATGAGGAAAATGGAGGCCAAACTTCAGTTGTTCATTCCATA